ATATGCGATATTACGTGCCCGGTGAGAATTTTCGAGATTCGAAGCTTTACTAGAAGAGAAGAAGATACTAGAAGCTTTGTGGGATCGTTTGTGAGTTAGTGTGATTATGATGCTTGACGCGTTCAGCTGAACCGATACGTTGTCTTGGTGCCACATGCTTGGATAATAGAAGACACAGTTGTTTGTTAGCTCATAATACCCTTCAAATAACAAAAGACCCATTAAGCAGTTAGGATTAGCTTTCTCAAACGTCTGGTAAACATAAAATATGTATCCAATTACTGACGATCGCATCAATGGCCTGCTTCTTTTATTTGCAGATTCAATCTAAGCACAGGCATAGCATCGCATAGCGTTTAACTGTAAAGTATCTCTATGAGCTATCTTCGTTATTTTTTTATAAGCAAACTTGCAGAAACACACACACACATGCATAAACACATTAACAACCGAACATGCATATCTATCGAACATCCCATAACCTGCTACATTCTACGGCTCCGTCGAAACACACGAACAGAAGCTTGAGCTTCTTTCGACCTTCAATGAAGAATAAAAAATCAGTCGCTAAGCCGATTTACCAATGCGATGGTCCTCCGCTTACAAACCCGTCCGAAATTGGGTCTCTGCTCCTCGGTCTCAGCATCGAAAGAGTCTCGACTGCGCGTTGTCGCGCCCCGATCTCCCTCTCGCTTCGCTCGCAGTAACTGCTGTCGCACTTTGCTATGATTGATTTTGTTTGGGGTGAGCCACGTTCGCCGAGCTAGTTCGACTCTTTATCCCAGCCCGCTTCCATCCGTAATAGAATACGCTACCTATGTAGCCAATATATGTTTTTGTTTTTTTCTCATCAAAGGACTATTGTTAACTTCTTTCTCTCTCTATGTTCGCTTTGTTTCTTTCTCGAGGATCGGTTCTCCGCTCACCCCCGCCTTACGCGCACAAAGTCAAGTTAAACTGAGTGGTCCTTGCTTATTCTTTTGGAATTGGAATAACAATAGAAGTGATAACGTAACAACAGCAGAGGGGGCGGGCAGAGCCGGCTATTTAGACGGAGGCGGAGGCACGGGACCACCCCCCGGGATGTGTTCCTACTTAAGCATCTGTGCCTGACAGTTACTGCTATTGACGCGCTAATATAGATATACGCAGAGGGGAACGACTAAATGAGATTAAATGATAGCGGATATATGGAGGCAGCAATAGATGTATTCGTCGTTTCACTTGTGACTCTTTGTTAGAGAGGCAGGAGGGTTGAGGTATGCAAAAAAGTGTTGACCCTTGTACGCTGCTTTGCTTACTGTGGTATACGCTATTATTTTATGGTTGTAATGGCTTATTAATCAGTATGTGTCTAGACGTAGTTCTAGATATTTGTCTTATACCTTCTTTGTGTAGTCTATCTAACGTATGATGCAAATAAGTTGCTTGATAGTTTCTTCATTAGCAGCATACGCCGACAGCTCGCATTGGGTTGACGTTTATCAAAGATATGCTCGCACATAATAACGTTCAGATACAAAAATGTTAGATAGAGTTAAAACTGACACTACTCTGGGCTTAAGTGGCGCCACGTGGAAGGAAACTGAGTAGGATATGTTCAGATCATTAGAGTTTCAATCCGGTCCTTTCTAGTAATAACGGCAATGGAACGCTACTACACAATGCGCAATCGACATTGCTTGCAATCCTGACCCGGTACACAAACTTTAGCAGTACTCTCAATTTATATACGGGGGCCCGCTCTGGGGATTACGTTTTAGGTACGATTGACGCATGTTTGTGGAATTTGATTCGAATCGAAGTTATTCCTCACGGGACTGGAGAATCGCTCCGACTTTATCGAGTTGCATAATGTATATTTCTCGGTAGTAAACACAATTAGCTCGTCTTCGATGGGGCGAAGGATACACTCCGATGTCTTTGATGCATCCTCTTATTTTCCCATATTCCTTTTAGACTTATTCGGTCCTTCGGTTTCGATTTGTCATTGGTTATCGTTGCTATGAGTCGCAACTTCTCTATCTGGTCAAATGACAAGATGCTCGTTTTCTAACTCAAACTAACTATTGAAAGTAAAACGATCATAATGTTTATCGCGCGCAACGTGAGCTTATTCAGCAAGTTCCGCTACGGCTTTCTCTGCTGAAGATGCCGCCGTGATGACGACTGAGGTCGTTCGCGTACGCAATCAGGCTGTCTGCCTCGAATGGAAAGAGACGAGGGGATAGAAAAAGTAAAATGGTTCGACTGTAACGAAACTCCCCAGTGAGGACCAAACCAGGACAGGGAGATGTAGTATATCTTACGGTGCAGTATATCAGTGGAGAGCAGAGGTAGTCGAGAAATTAACAAGCTGTCTATTGGACAATGATCGTTGCACGAGGCACATCATTCTTCTGAAGTGGAAAAAACGCTTGACTGCTTAAGCTGTACTTTCTCTTAAGGTCTAAAACTCCCAAGAACCCCAAGATCGTTGATTCGTTTCTCTATTGAACGGAGACTACGATGATAAAGGTAGTACGATCCATGGTCTCAGTTTTGGCTTTACACATTATTAGTTCTCAAACGGTCACTAACTCATTCGAACCGGATTCGCTGAACCAGTTGGATTTAACACAAAATGAAAACTGCTACTTCTCACTTTTTTGCGAAGTTCACCAGCACTAGTAGTGGTGCGCAAACAGACGACAGCTCGGTGCTACTGAGTCGCGTATGACTGGTACTTCGAGCCTAATCGTATAGGACCACGCCTAGGATTAACATCAGCTTCCCTGAACCGGATGTGGGACGAAGCTGTCTCTCTTAGAGCGATTGTCATCGCTGCTACTGTGAGCTTTGGATGATCACACCAGCATTATGGGTGCAACAATGAAAACTTCCGCCGCCCTCAAGAAGACGTTATGATGGGTGGAGAGCCGCAAATTAGACTAGCACTAGCCTAATCGGTGAAAAGACGATCGAACTGACGAAATAGTCATAAACAACGAGCAGTCGACACCTCAATAACCCCAATACGCCCCCGCCCAGTCGCCCCGTTCAGTCGTTCTTCGGATACCAACATAGTTTTGCGAAATGTGGCTGAAGTACTTTAATGTGTAATTAATTCGCATCTGCTCAAACCAAAGCCTTCGTTCGTATACGTAACGCACGCGATATGCCATAGTTTAGGCTTTTCCTATATATATATGAGGGTTTATTACAGTGCTACCTACTGCACGGGGTGGTGGGAAGAGAGAATGAAAATATCCTATATCCCAATAGCACTTTTTATAAGGGATAATCGTTGCGAGAGTCTTCAATTGAGTCTAAACGATCCGAATTATTGCATGATCATTGCTGACCAGAAACATTTCCCGCGTAGATTCGGTGCCATTATTGGACAATTTATTCATGTTAATATTTGGCCCACGACAATGTCTTCTGTCTTGTAACACATATATAATTCAAGTATGTTGTTCATGATTAGCGAATAGAACTAGAAATAAAAATCTATGTATAAGTTATAATGTATCAATACAATAACTTGCTCAACTTTTTACATAATGTCAAAAAGTGTTCGACGACGAACAGTTTCAATGGGGTTTCTTTGCACGCTCTTCCATTATTTACATGAATCGTATATGTCGCACATATAGGCGTATATACAATATGTATTAGCGGTACTTTAAGTGAAGTAATCGTAATAACAACATGAAGCTTTTTTTTTTTTTGATGGTATCAAAAAACCGGTGACGACAACAACGGTATAACAACTGCGATAGACCACCAGGTAAAAGAAAACCCAGAAAGAGCTTCTTCAAGCGTTTTTTTTTTGTTTTATTTTCGATTGCCCCTCGTCGGATTGTCCAACATTAATATTGCGAATAAAATTTTCCATATGTCGTCCGCTGAATCGATCACAGTAATTTATGACTAAATAAACGTACGATCTGGTAAAGGAACGGTGTTTCTGATGCTGTATCAACGTGTACATCAGCGACAATGCTCGATTCTATTACTTAATAGGTTGGTACACACAATACAAAATCGTTATATGTTTATCTTTGTAAATAATCGTCTTACTTCTGAGCTATGATTCTACATTCTATCATATCGATAGAACGTCAAACGTAAATCTGTGATATGAATCAACGCCCACTAGTTATTATGATGAGCTGAGAGTCGAGAGCATTCGAAATCGATGTAAAACGTTTGCACCCTAACGAATCCCTACCTTATCGCGTTCAGAGCAGTTTTCTTCTTGTAGTTTTTATTTTTCATATATATCTAAATGAGAAATAATAAAATAATGTACCTCTGATATTAAAAGTAATGCAACGTTCCATATGGCCTCTAAATCGGAACAAGCTTGCCAGATTTGTTGGCCTGCTCACGAAATCAGACCTCATATATAAGGATTACGTGGAAGGACAAATACGACTGGATTTTTATGTAAGAGGAGGCGGAGGAAGGCCTTGAAAGCTGAAGCCAAACGAACGGGACAGAATTATGGAAGTGTTTTCTACTCGATCCTGCAGTATGCGGCTCAATGCGCTTGATTATAAAGTTAGTGCCGTTATACTCGCCTGAGCTGGGTTTACTGTTGTTTTATTTTAAAATGACTGTAAAAATTTAATAACGTAACTCTTTCAGCTTCATTGGGAAGTCAAACTTCAGAATCAGCATTCCGTGTTTTAATCGAAATATGTTTTTCTACAACAAAGATATTCTTTTTTGGTTTTTCTTCGAGGAAATATTTCATTGTAACGCTTTTACCTGTTAATGAGCTCTATCTTTAATCTGAGCTTTTTAAAGGTTAGCCTGCATAGCTATAGGTAGTATCAGAGTCCGGGCATTTCGAGACGACTAACTACACCAGCGAAGTAAACCCATTAATAAGAATGGAGTAATGCAACTTGAAGCATTTTAGTGTCCAGCATACTATACCGGACTTAATGACGACTACCTCTATTCGATGTTATACTAACATTTTACGCATTCGCCGTGTGGATTTTCAGTAGCTACTGCTGCTAACGTCGCCGTGTACCGGTACCGCGATGATCTAGCTGGTTAGGTGTGGGGCACAGCCTCGCGTGGAGGTCGGAAGCGACTCATTGGCCAAGTGTCGCTTTTTGACAAAGGAAAGACTCCCCCCCTTAACAAAATGTGCATTGTATCCTCGGGTCACCGGTTCCTGGAGCGAGTCTCCAAGAACAAGGGACTCATCACGTTCACCATGTACTTCCTCATGGTAGGACTGGCCACAATAGGCATCTTTGGCAAGACCCAGTATCCAGACAAGTTCACTCCACGATGGGTAAGTATACATACGTACCTGAGAGAAATAAGCTTTACTTACTTAAATTTTCGCTTTGGGTTCCAGGAAGTGTCTATTTTATTTTTTCTTTTTCTTTTCTCACATAAGGTTCATCATAGAAAACAGAATATAATGAATGTGGCCGCAAACTATCCTATCGTTAAAGGATTGGCGCCCCTTAAAGAATATGTCAGTATTGGCTATCTTGCTAACGCTTGACAATTCATAGACGGATGATTCGCACAAAACCAATTACGCTAAAATAAGTAAGATTTCCAAAATTACCTATTGAGATCTTTTTGACTGAGTAACGAAGAAGAGAAAACGAAGATCACCTTAGAAGGTAGCAGATCTATTATGCCCCAGCTTGGTCATCTTTGTAACGATTATTTCATAGTTTGAACACGAATTTAATTAGTCACTAGTCAAAATTATAACGCCTAATGTATGGATGATGCGCAGAGAACTCCGACCTGTCTAACCACAACCGACAATTAGTAGAATAGCGAAAGTCGACCATTGACACCAAAGGTAGCGGTTGAAGTTACTTGTCTCTGGTTTCTTTTTTCTAAATATCATCGAAAACCACAAAGCGATGCTAGAGATTTGTCGTATCATAACCTTGCGTCTACGAGTCGCGGCACGTTAAAACGATTCAATAGAAATCCGTACATCTGTCGTATATATTAATAACATAAGGCAAGACATATTCGATTTATACATTCATTCTATAGTCTGTTGAATTAACCTAAATGTTAAAATCAGCTACTACTATGGGAGAAGTTTTCAGTGTTAGTCTCTCTGAGCCGCTAGCGATAGCAACCTTTCTTCCATATAAAGGTACGAAATGAGGATGTGTCGGTATCAGCAAGGAAGATCTGTATAAGCCTACAATGGCATGTCTTCTTTCATGTCGTCTTGCCATTCGTGAGCTTACTTATTGAGGATCGATCCTCCGTTGTCCGTTATTGCTGTGTACATTTGTTTTGTTCAAGCGGAACTCCTACGTAACAATGGTTGTTAGCTTTGCGGAGCCAGTTTCAGGGATACACCGCTTTCTGAATAGCGGCGGTGGTTGCTTCGGGTCTTTATTATCCAATCGCCATGTTCTTCTGTCCACCCAGAGACTTCCTGCGTCTTCTCTTCTTAGCATAAACTCAAAGTGATGCGCTATTCGTTCTTATTCAAATTCTTCATAACACTTTGTGCCTTGAACCGCGTCGCCTTACTACTAAAAGCCTCTATTGGATCTTTTTTAACGTTCCTCTACTTAGAACTCGTACCAGTTTCCTCTGAGCTCATGCCCTCCAGCTTCGGCAATTACGCGCCAAACTTTTCCGTTAAAACCGAAAGGTTGGGTGTACAGCGTCGTTGTTGCCTCGCTTTAATTCGTCTCGCGCTTGCGCTGTCTTGGCATCGGCGTAAGGTTAGCTGTCGCCCTCTCTTCGCCTATGAGGGGCAATGCGCCAGCAACACAAGCCAGTTGCCTGTTGATCATGCTTCCTCGGTTACTCGCCACCTGACGACTGTACGCGCGATGGGTGGAGGTTTGAAGCGTGCGGCAATGCGGAAGGCGGTAGTAAGATGAGCCAAACACGGGTGAAATTCCCCTCCCGAAGCGGAGTCTTACATCGGACCTGTGTTGCCTCCCTTCAGCTTGTCACCTTTCGGCGGCGCGTGTTCACGCCGAGGTGATAAATTATGTTTAGCCGGAGACGAAGGATGGGCCCTTTCGCCATCTGACTTTGTTCCTCTGGTCTACTTTCGTAGTTATCGTTGTTGTGCTTGCTTCGTTGGGTTTCAGGCATCAATCCGTGAAGGACTTCTCTAATTTGTTCGAGTTATTCTAAAGTAAAATTGGTCTTAGGGCACGCTTTCTTCTTGCCTTTGGCATTGCTGTCCGTTAACTTTCCACTAGCCAGCTAGGTCTAATGCATCTGTGCCTAGGACTATGGTTGTTGCTCGTTGACACTGCACCCGCTGGCTCCTGCGATTACTATCGTGCTTTTCTCGTCAAGTTTGTCCGCACCGTCTGGATGTCATCGACTTATTTGTTTGATAGTGCTTGAAGGGTCTGTCCCCGCTTATATGCTTAGGTCCGTCTGGTTTTTCCACAGGTTAGTCCCACTAATTGACTGGAATATAGAGCCTGACATGGGACCGAGCCAATCATAGGTGGTGTTGCCACAGCTGTAGTAGTATCGAGATCATCACGGTCGGTGTTAATTCAATGGAGTGAGCAAAGGAGGTTACCTTGGAAACGTCAGCAGGCCAATTTTGGACAGACAACAGTTGCAACTTGTTGGCTTCTTTAGATGGCCATCATGTCCGCGAGCGTACTTTTAGCTGTGTTCGAAGCTTCCACACTCTTCGCACATTCAAGGCACGAGAACGGTGGCGGCGGTGGGCACCCGCCCACGGGGACATTACCCCAAAAGTTCTTCGTTACCCCGTGGCTACTCCGGGTAGCCTGCATCAACTTGAGCTTATAGTAGTACTAGTAAGGGATAGTAGAGTGGCTGGTACGCTAGCAACCCGCCCGGTCCTGTATGTACCCCTGTGTGTACTGAAGCTCTAAGAGACGCAGACGAAGGCGGCTGAAGCGACCACCAGAGTGGTGACAGCGGCCTCGCTCGTTCGTTCGTTCGTCGGACAGCCGTAGCTGTGATGGTGGCGAGTAACTAGAGGGAAGGACAGAAGAAGAAGAAGATGAGAGTAAACAAGAAATTCGATAATAATGGCCGTAAAGTGGTTCAGGGGAGTTGTCTGTTCCTGCTGTCGAGCGCTGCCTTCGCCGTCGAATGCCTTTGCCACAACGGCTGCTACTACCGCTGGCTTCTGTGTTGACTGTGGTCTGCGGACAAGCAACGGCTAGAGTTGCGGTGCTTCCTCAGTTTCACTCAAGGAGCTCTGGTCAGCATCGGCTGTTAAGGCTTTGACAGACTCGAATCGGGCACTAGTCTAAGGCAACGAGTGCAGTTAAGCAAAGCAAAGAGACTTCAAGCTAACCTGCCAGTCTTACAACTAACAGGCAGCAAGCCTGCTGGCTCACAGATGAACAAAGATGTCATGATGGCCTTTTCAGTGTAGTACAGCACAACATTATTTAATTGCTAAGAGCGTATCAACTGTATGCCATCGCACAGCTTCGGCGCTCTTCTTTTCGTTGGTGGCAACCGATACCAGAACGGTAGCGTCCGCTGTAGTACCAATGGAAGCATCTTGAGACGGAAGCTGAAACAAGCAGGCCTGGGGCATCAATATTAAATTTTGGATTTGGTAAACTTAAAGGAGCGACAAGCGAGTTACCTGCACTGATCTGCTTTGCTGCTTGCTTGGCACTTTAGTGCAGTTACCCCTGGTGCCGCCAGTATTGCTTCTGTTTTTGCTAGCCTTCCACCATGTCCTTTGCTCCGATCGAGGGGATGTAGCCTGCTACACGATCCTTAGTACCAGGAACAGCCAAACCTCTGGTTTGTCCTCTTTCGCAAAAGACAATAGGGGCTAGTTACAGTCCCCATCTAACTTCACTGCATGCTTTTTCGGCTCGTAACCTCAGCAGTGGTAAAGGTAGAGCGGTAACAGCGGAAGTGGCGGTTGAGGAAGCGGTGAGGAGAAAAGGCGGCAGCGGCTGCACTTCTGCCAAAAAAGGAGAGGAGGGGGGATCATTTAGCGTGGAAGTAGATGTTGTGGGCCAGCAAGATAGCTTGGGAAGGGGTCACAGCGGCTGCGACGCAAGAAAGGATCTTTGCTTCAGCAGCAAGAAGCTCGCTGACATGCGGCCCGTTAGCTCAGTAAAGGAATAAAGGCAAGAAGCAAACAAATCAATTATTTACTTGCTGAACACCTCGCATAGCTTAGGCGTACAGCGTCATTTTCTTTTTCCAGACTCACGACGTAACAAGCAGTAGCCGTTGAAGCAGAAGCAGCGTCCTTTGCCACTATGAAGGCTTCATTCCCAACAAACCTCCGTGCCAAATCTTGTTTGTAAACTAAGACCCAAAGTAAACTGGAGGTACACTGTTTAGCTAGATAGCCTTGCAACGGTCATGCGACGGACTCTGGAGGCAACGCGCACCATAAAGACTAAAGTAATTCACCACAGTACCGCCCTACTAAAGAAAATTTCTGTATCATATGGATGTATGCCCAGATGGCGCACTCGAACCAAACAGTCCTTCGACTGGGTATATTGTTGCTGTTTCTAAGCTGGTTGAGCTACCGTTTCATGAACAAGTATATATATATATAATGTGGTCGAACGAGCAATCTTAAATTCAGATATTCTTTTACGGGCGAAAAATTATAACACGATCGGCTGAGTAAGTGCAAATAATTATATACTTATATAGCATACACATTTACGACCTTTCAACGTACATGACGTAAGCATCAAATAGCGTCAAAAATGACTGATATGTTCATTCAAATAGCGTGTCGCTAGCGTGGTCATGCGTCTCTTGCACCTGCAATAGATAACGGAGAGAAACGTTAAAAATATCGAGGCTGGGCATCCCGACTCTGTTAACATCAAGCTACGAACGACTGAACGCCTTCATTATGCCGAACACTCACTTCCCAAATTTCCTTCATTTTTTAGTAGTTTTCTTTTAGTAAAGTTCAGTTTTCTTTGACCAAGCCACCACTGGGATACTTCGTTCGGTCGGCAGTGTCTGGTGAAAAAGGGAGAAATAACTCGTATCTTGAATGATCTTTTCCGTCTCCCGCCACCATCACATGCCAGCAACTGGAATGGAATAAGGCGAAATTAGGTGGGGGTGGTACCCCGTTCCGACCTTGCTGATGCCAGTCCTAGTATTAGAACCATTCTGCTGGCTACCAGCTGAGCCACTAAGCCAGCTGTGGAATTCGCTCCTCGTTTGAAGCAGTAATCGTCTCGACTGTAGCACCCCCGTACTCATTATAGCAGGGCGATCAGACCAAACTTCCAAAGGAAACTGGGACTCAACGACGGCCGACTTGATGCGGCAGACAAGCTA